TGACCTGTCTTTATGATCAACTCACTGCCTTGGAAACTAACCAAAGCAAAGATAAATGAAATTATATAGTTAATTATTAAAGAGTCAAAAATCATAGCCTGTATACTGTTGAAATGAATCCTCAGTACTCCAGAGAACAGGGGCTTATGTACAGTTCCAAAATGACGGAGTGGAATGTGAGCCCAATGAGCAATACGCCTGACTTTTCAAAGCTTACAGCGCCTTCAGTCAAATACACAGGTGAACCGCTACAAAGCATAACCTGGCCTGCACTTACTGCTCTGTGCTGTACAAGAGTAAGAAATATCAATCAAGTGTTTAGAAAATAGATAACTGTGGGATCTGGCACGAATACCAAAAGGCAGAGTGTAGGAGCAGCGGGTTTCTGCCCACTCCCTGCCTTAGTAAAGGCATGGAACCTAATGGTGAACGCAGAGCTACACCACGGAAGCCACAGCTACCTGAAAACAACAACGAAGGTGCTGACTGCACCACCGGGATGAACTACTTCTCTCTTTTTGGCTGACAGCAAAACAGTTATCAATTACAAAACTCTAAATGGAAACTACAATAGTATGTGTGTGAATACTCTAAAAGTAAATATTCATAGACAGAGAGAGACCCCAAATTGCCAGTGGTTCAACTTACAAAATTTCAACTTTAAAATGTTGTAAGCCTATGCCCACACAACCACTCTGTTCTCCACTGTGTGTCTGATAAATGTGCTGGTTTTGGTAAGACAGATATAGTAAATTTACTTTTTACTAATAGTTTTTTTAATTACAGTAGGTTTATCAGACCAAAAGGATCAGCATGTATATATGTATATGTATAAATATATATGTATATATATTTACTACAGTAAAGACAAGGAGGGTACACTTGCCCCCACACATTCTGCTGTCAAGAGGAAGTGGACAAGCCTAAGACAGCATCTACTTTTCTCCCAGCATCCAGCATCCCTGACCCTACCCCACTATGTTTGGCCAGCAGTTTAAGGGCCTGCCTTTTCTAAAGTAAAGTTCTCTAAATCCTTAGTAACCGAATTGGGATCAGAATATAAATTGGGAGCCAAATCAGCTAAGAAAAACAAAATAAAGCAAAAAGATACAGCTAATTATGGGGAGGGGACCATCAAGTTACAAAGCTGAAAAGGTAGACACAGTATGGACTCCAACTTCAGACTGAGGGGCAGGGATTTAGAATACATTCATAGAAAAGGGTGCTTGTGAATGAAGAAAGGAAGAAAGCCATCCATCTCTCTAAAAAGCTAAAAAAAAAACCTATAACCTATTCAGAATTAAGCAAAGGAGAAATCTTAAACATTACAACTACAACAACTATGGATGGTGGTCATCTAGTGATAGACACAGGATTTGGGAATGGCTTGTTCTCAGAATCCTCATATGACTGTCTCCAAAAGAGGGAAACATTAAACAGATGACCAAACCTTAGAGGATTCCTAAGTCTGGGAATCCAATATGGGTCAGTAACTTTTTCAAAACAATAGTCACTCAGAATGTTAGAAAACATTGTTTTTTCAACAATATCTAGCATTTTCCAGCACCTTTTATTTACCGGACAAATCAGTAAATCATCATTTAAGATCTCAGTTTCTATGGTTTCGGCTACCTGCATCACCAACCATCCAAAAATACTAAATGGAAAATTCTAAGAACAAACAAGTCATACTTTAAAAATTGCTGGCCATTCAAACAGCATGATGCCATCCCATGGTGCCCTGCTCTATCTCACTAAGAATCAGCTCTATCAAGGGCATACAGGCCTATGTCCCATCTCTCTTACCTGGCTGACTGTTAGCTATTGGATGGGCTACATCAGTATTGCAATGCTTGTGTTCAAACAGCCCATTGTTTTACTTAATTGCATCAGAGTGCAACAGGAGTTATATACAATGGGGATAGTGTGTAGTTAAAACGTTTTCAGCTTTATTGTGTTATTGTTAAACATCTTATTGCACCTAACAGAAACACTGTATTATAAGGATGCATGTTAAGGACTAGATACTCTGTGGGTTCAGGCAGCCAGGGAGAAGGGAGGGATGGGGTGCATGAGGGCTGTGGATAGGGGGCATGTCTTGGAATGTATCAGGCCCAGCCACTGGAGATATGTTTACATATTCTCAGGCTGCGACAAGTATGTGCCAGGCTAATCTTAAGCATCAGATTTACTACCTGTCAGACCTGTCTGCCTTAAGTGGCTATGTGGGGCAGAAAGGACAGGCATGGAACTAAGAGTCAGGAGACGCTCAGGCCCTGCCTCTGCCATGACATGGCTCTCACCGTAGGCTGTAAGAGGGACAGAGTGGTGGTTCAGAAACCCTAAAACTCTCAGGTTAGGATGCTTCTAGTTCTTCTTGGTTTAAGTTTAATCCCAGCAAAGCAGTACATACATAAGACTGTTTTCCAAAGGTCAGACTCCTGCCTTTTAGCCAAAATCCTAAGAGTAAAATAACACCGACTGTGCTTACAAAGAACAGAAATGAAGAGCTTACTTCACTTTTATCTGTTATTTAATTAACACAAATTCCCAATACCCAGATTTCTATACTCCTTCAGTCATAATCCAAAACAGCCTGGTTTTATACTATGCTTCTTTTCATTATCTGTCCCATTTACAAGTCTGCTGTGATGCCAAATATGCCTTTTGAATTAACAGTACAGGTTACAATCATGTTAGCTACCAAGCAGAAGCTTGCTCTCTGCTTCAACATCTACATCTGCAAAGTGAAGATACACAATCTTTCAAAAGCTATTGAAAATGTCAAATAATGAACATGGAAGCCGGTACCTAGAACTAAACACAACTGCATTCAATATGAATTTGCCTGTCTTCCAAGTGTGTGAGATGACTGTCTACAAAAGCTGCCTAAGCACTTAAGGCCCGCCCTTTAATGGCACCTTTACTCCAAGAGACCTAGATGAACTACAAGGCAGCAGCATGTTTAAGTCCCACATTAGGTACTGTTTCATAGTCTCACTTCAATAAACACAGGTTCAGCACTTACAATGTGTCAGACTCTTGTACACTATTATGTGAGAATTTAGAAATGAGCAAGACAGAGGCCTTACTTTCAAAACACTCAGGCTAGAAGAGACAAAAACTATAAGGCAATTAAAACCAGAAGTAGGTACAGGGAGCAGAAGTAACAGGATGAAGCAAGAAATTCACACTGCATGATGGAGCAAAGAGGAAGAGGCTGAATAAAGAGCTATGTAGAGGGAAAGGGAAGGCATTCTGTAGCAGGTTTGCTCTGAAGCCCCATTCGCTCACTATAACTCAGGGCAGTTTAATTTCCCTGAATTGCTTTGTACATATACTCTGCAGAGCTACTAAGATTAGAAATTCTATACAGAGAGAGTAAAATCCATAGGAGACACTAATAAATGGTGGGTTTACTGTCTTGGAGCTGTGTGTGCTCCCTCGTTGGGAACGGACTAGACTGTACATGGCACAGCAGTAAGCACCTCTTGACCAAGCCTCAAGCTACATGCGGGACAGCTATGGTCCCCTGTATGTGCAGGACACCCAGAACCACAGACTGCCAGTTTCTATAAGCAATTATTAGGCTCACAACAGAGATAACCAAAGCTCTCCGGGATTGCTATCTGCTAACCAAATGATGGCTTGTGGAGCTGCAAAGCCACTGTAATGATGAGAACCTGAAATGTTTGAAAATATGGCTAAACATGGCCCACGGTCCACTACACTTACTCTACTCTAAGACTCCCCAGACTCACTTTCTGTAAAATACCTTAATGAGACAACCTAGTTATTAATACAGACGATATATATTCTTACTAAATCTTTATCATTGTTCGTTAATAAACAATTCATACTTTGGAACTATGGAACTGTGTTTAATGTCACAAGTGAGACAAAGGAGTCTCTCTTGAAATGATCTTTAGTGGATTTAACTTTTCAGACCCACAAACGTGCAACCAAGAAAAATCTGCTGGCTCCAGAGTTTCCTTTAATTGTGTAGTTTCCATCCATAAGGAAGTAAGTACCCTGAATAGTCCTGGTGGTACATATTCCACCACATTTTTCTTTTCAAACATGCGAGCCCTTTATCATGCCAGATTTTGCCAATAAACATACGTATACTGTATGCTATTAACGATATCACACTGATTTTGAAGTACTAATGTTCAATTGGAGTTAGGACATTTTAAAGAATTGAGGGGTTTTGGTGGGACTGATGGGAGGTTGTTTCAGAAAAGCAAATACCCCGGACTCAAATTGTTAATCCTATCGCTTTCCTGTCAATATTGCTCTCTAGAAACTATTTTAAAAACTCAGAACTCAGAGTATAAACATTTCCACATTAAGAAAACCAAGTTTCTTCATAAAGCAAACCTACAGATCCGATGAAAATACGTGTACTAATGCCTCACTCTAACAACCATAACTGATGTTATAATGTAGCTAAATTCAATTCCCAATCACCTTCATTACTGAATTCGCAAATGTCACAGATGCAGCAACTTGAGGGTAGAAGACACAGACAAAGGGAAATAGGAGAGAAGACAGACAACTGCTTTGACTGCCCTAGACCTTGGCCCAGCCCCTGACCCACTATAATCTACTTAGTCATCTCTCTCTCTAAAAAGAAAACGAGTGGTCCAAGCAAACAGATCACTGTGAGCAGGGAATGGAAGCCCTGCATTTGGTTTGAGATTTGTCAGCAAGAGCTACACCAGGAAAAAAAAAAAAAAGAAATAAAAACGATCGAAACTGCAAGAAGCAGTGTGTGTGTGTGTGTGTGTGTGTGTGTGTGTGTGTGTTTGTGTGTGCACGCGCGAGTGTGCGTGCGGGGCCGGGGTGGGGGGTTAATGACACAAACATGAACTGTGTGATCCAGTCTGGGCACTGGCGCGACTCGCGCGTGCTCCAGCGGCCGGCACCGGGCCGGGGGTGCGGACGCCCAGAACACGCGAGGAGTGGGTCCCCACCGCTCCCTCCGCCCCGCGCATTACCCGTGAGGTTCCTCAGCACCGTGCCATGGGCCCAGAGGCTCAGGACCTGCTGCACCGACAGGTTGATCATCGAGTGGTCGGCGCCCTCCGCCCTCATCGTCCCCGCGGGGCCGCAGCGGGGCGCTCCGGGGGGCGCCGCTCGGCGGGTGTCGCAGGCAGCGTCCTCCCCGCCGGGGAGACATCGAGGAGCGCGGGAGGGCGAGGCCTGGGCCGCGGGAGGCACCGCCGCTCCCGCTCAGGGCCCGCGTCGCGCCGCGGGGGCCCGCCACGCCACGAGGCTCAGGTCACGCCGTGAGGCCCGCGCGGACCGGCAGCCGGCAGGGGCAGGCCGGGGGACGAGGCTCATCGCGGGGACGCGCGACGAGGCTGCGGCGCCCGGCCGCGGCACCTGCCGCCCGCCTGCCGCTCGGCCTTAGGGTCGCCGACACTCGAGGAGCCGCCCCCTCCGCCCGCGACCGCCCCGGGAGCGCGCGTGCGCGTGCCCGCCCCTCTGCCCCGCCTCCCCCGGGTGAGCGGCCGCGCACGCGCACTGCCCTAGCTCCGCGTGCGCCGCCCGCAGCAGCCCCGAGCTCGGGTGGCTGTCGGCTCCCAGCGTCCGCCCGCAGTGGGGCGGAGGGAGCGCCTCCTACGTCACTGGCGCCACCGCCGGGACTCGCTGCTGATTGGGTGCTCCGAGGGAACGGCCGCCACGCCCCTCGCCCCCTCGGGACTGCGCGCCCCCGGAGACCCGAAGCCGGTGAGCTGGGCGAGCATGAGAGCACGGCGCTTGGAACTGGGAAGCTGACAGTTGTTTTTGAGATGGTGCTTCGGGACTCCAGATCCTTCCCTCTCGGTGAGGGCGTCTGCGAGCAACTTTTTGCAAAGGTGTAAATGACAATGTTCAGGTGTTTTTATTTGCCGGGTTTTCCGAGAGTGAGTCCGGTGACCTGGATACGTCTCGTCTCTTCCTTTGCTAAATCCACTAAAACAGAAATAAATCCTTGGTTCATTTCAACTAGCCTTCTTGCGGGCAGTTAAGAACTTGACCTCCCGTGGCTGCAGGATCTGAAACCACTTACTGACGCAAGGCCCGGCAGTTGTCCAAACCCTCCTGGCCAAGGTTGGTTCTAGCTCTTCTTCGTGATAGGATTCTTTTCATCTACAATCGCGAGTCTCTGTCATCACACAGGCCTGCCCAGCACTTAAACTAGATCAGCCCCTCTCCCTGTCCTTCAAATTAAAGGCCAGTCTCAGAAGCATCTTAAGTCCAATTATTCAGGATTCTTCCTTGAAGTTTGAAACCTTTTAATTTGAAAATTAAAAATGTAAGTGTTTGCAAAATGTGCTAGTAACCCCCCCCTCTCCCAACTCCATCTGTTTTTCAAACACTCTGCTGATAAAATTTATAAAGTGAAAAAACTCAACCAGGTAATTTGCCCAGATAATGAAGGGTCGTATTGAGCACTTTAAAATGGCAATAATGTATATGCAGGTAGATAAGTTATGTATATTTTTCTTTTGCTCCCACAATATAGAAAGAGGAAGTTTGGGGATCATTAATAGGAAATGAATTAAAACCCACTGTAATTTAGAGTTTTTCGACTGAATTAAATCTGTTACTTCAAAGATTATAGATTATCAGACAAAAATTAGGCTTTAACATCCTAATTCTTTGTATTTTATATAGAGAGAAACTGATTTTGAGGAATTAAGTTATTTGAAGGGGCTTCATTTCTAATCTTTTTCTTTTTTTCTTCCTTCCTTCTTTCCCTCCTCCCTCCCTTTCTTCCCTTTTCTTCCTGACAGCCATAGTATCCGTCCTAACTCACTAGTCCCTTCCTAGCATTAAAGCTCAGAATGGGAAGTTACCGAATGATGCTGCAAAGGGAATTGACATTATTAGGGAATATGAACACATCTAGTGATAGGCTTATAGCCAAGTCTCGGAGCATCTCATTAATCTCTCCTATCATAAGCTTTAAGCTATTAGGGTCTTTATACTTACACAGTATTATTTAAAATGCTATAGCACGAATTAAAAATACATATTGAAAACATTCTGAACCCAGGGCAATGCTTAGCATAAAATGCTCCAGAAATATTTGTTTAATGAATAATTGAGTGAACTTCATAGGAGAGTTTACATTTTTTCCTTTTCCATGTGATTAAAAAATTATATCCAAGCATTTATGTTAGGTAGTTGAGACACAATGAAATGTGAGACATTTCAGGCAATTTTACAAAACTTTGTTACCAGTCAGCTGACTGGACCCCTGCACTGTACTCCAATAGGAATTGTGGGTGAGCAAGGAGAAGCTCTTCAAGATCTGTTCCTTGGCAGTTTGTGTATGTCTAGGTATTTGACAGGACGGTGGCTGCTACTGCTGCTGCCAAGTCCACCTGTTGCAGGCCTGTGGCTCCGCCTCTTTTGTAACTGTCAATGCAGTTGGTCCCTTGGCTGCTTTTGCAGCTCAGCCCTCCGGCCTCTCAGTCCTGCTGGTTCTCCCACTATTGCCTCCCCTCGTGTTATTCTGCTGTTGTCATTCCGTTCTCCCTGGTGCTTTCTTCACGTTTCCAGCCCCAACTACCCTACTCCAAATAGGCAGATGTGTTCATTAGTGTTATTTATTATTTAATTTATTTATTTTCTTGTTAACTTGTTACAGCCTAGAGTCATCTGGGAAGAGGGAACCTTAATTAAGAAAATGCTTCTGCCTGATTGCCTGGGGTGTTTTCTTTATTAATGACTGATGTGGGCAGTACCATCCCTGGGCAGGTGGTCCTGAGTTATGTAAAAGAAAAGGCTGAGTGAGCTATGAGGAGCAAGTCAGCAAGTCCTCCATGGTCTCTACTTCAAGTTCCTGCCTCCAGGTTCCTATACTGAGTTCCTGCCCTGACTTGCCTTCCATGGTGGACTGTAAGATAAATTAACCCTTTCTTTCCCAGATTGCTTTTGGGGCATGGTGTTTTCACAGCAATAGGAAGCAAATTAGGACGGCAGGTAAAGACCTCTTTAAATAGGAAGCAAATTAGGACGGCAGGTAAAGACCTCTTTAGAGAAGCCAGAGGAGGTAGCACAGGGCACTGTCTCCTAGACAGCTTACAAAATGAACCAGAAAACCTGCTTAAATAGCCAAAGAAGAGGTGTTTGTAACAAACACAGAAAATCACTCATGCTAAAGGAGGTTTGTGGTTGCACCAACTACACGGTAGTCCTTTTGGTATTAGCAACAACCACCCTACCACTAGGCTGCCAGGAAAAAAAATGCTCTCTGGGTGGAAATAGTTGCAGGATAACTAGAGTTCATCAAAGACTATATAGCAAAAAGTACAGGGCAACCTGTTTGAAGTCCTTTTCCTCAGGGCATCCATGGAGTGTTCTAAATGGCTGGTGCAGGTAGACTGGCCAACTGCTTAACTGGCAGTCCTTTTGCTCCAGACTGACAGGGCAACATGGGAGAGTCAACACCTGCCAAGTGGTCTAATTAACCCATCCTCAACATCTTTGTTAGAAGAAAATGGGTACTGGAAAGAGAGCCCACAATAAGAAATGAGCACTAACAGGGTTTTTAGTGTGTTTGAACAGTACTTTAACACTATATAACACCCGCCCATTATCTCATGGAAAGGTAGGGTCCCCTCATCTGTCTCTCATGAGCAACTGTCTATACAAATGTAACCTGGGGAAGGTTATGTGAGTCTTTTAACTTTGTTGTGAGTCCTTGTGACTATCTTTTGAGTTCAGCCTATTTCCTTCCAAGGAAATACCTTCTAAAGGAAATACCGGTATAACATTTGAGGTTGGTTTTATGATTGTTTCTGATAATGTCTGTCACCATAGCTGATAAAACACTTCAGTTGAGTCTGTCTATTGCCTATTCACTCCAAACAATCTAAAAACCACACATTTCCACTTCTCATAACTGTTCTTCTCTGTCTCTGTCATAGCACAGTAGATTGTATATTTTGTCTACTCTTAAAGCTCAAGTGTCTGGATTCTAACCCCAATTTAACTGCATTAGCCAATGTGAGCATTTAATCACAATAGGCTATTAACCACTAAGCTTCAGTTTCATTATCTGAGTTTTAATATTTCATTATATATTTCATATGTTACTCACTGTAGAGAATATATATCTCATTATACTTCTGTTTCATTGCAGTACTTCTTGAGATTTTTTTGAGGACCAGGGTACTTAACATTTGGGTCCTTAAACACTCAGAATGGAATGTGGATCTGTAATCAAGAGTAGATGCAAGGTTTTACCCTGTCACATTTAAATATGAACTTTTTTGAAGACAGATGAAAATTGCTAACTCATAAATACTTCTTCTAAAGAACAAGCAAAAGGGCCTTGTAAAGGAGTCCTTTGATAGAAAAATATCTACTTATATTTTCCCATTTTGAAAATGATATGTTCATGTGGCTCAAAACTTTTACCATATGAAATGTGTACATTGAAAAGTGCCCTTCTGCCACTGCTCCCCAACTGCTCACTGATCCTCACCCTCATTCCTAGTGGGTTTTTTTGAGGGGGGGTTCTCTGTGGCTTTGGAGGCTGTCCTGGAACTAGCTCTTGTAGATCAGGCTGGTCTTGAACTCACAGAGATCCACCTGCCTCTGCCTTCCAAGTGCTGGGATTGAAGGTGTTTTTAGCCAGGTTAAATAACGTCCAACTGTAAAAGATGAGAAAAATAAGCATATTTAAACCTCACCTCTTTTTTGCCATTTCTTCCAGTTCTGTGAAAAGCATGGGTCTGACCTCAAATACATACACTAGAGCTGAAAACCTGAACCTCACTGTAGGCCATGCTGTGTATTGAATGTTTGTCTCTCTCCAAATTGATAGTTTCCCATATTTTAGGAGGTCATGACAGTGGAACCCTAGTGGATAGGACTGATAGCTTTGTTGGAAAAGATGAGGGTGATGGTGTCTCATCCATGTAAAATGCAACAAGGTTGCAAACCCAGGAAAGGACCCTCAACAAACATGGAGTCTGATGGCACCCTTATTGTGTCTTCCAGCCTCCAAAACTATGGGAAATAAATTATTTAAGCTACCAAAGACTATGGCATTTGTTTTTGCAAATACTCACGTAGCAGAGTAGCTGAGCCGTAAGGTGATGTCATGGGTCATTGTGAAGACTGCAGTCACAACCCACAAAAGACCATTCTGAGCTTGCTGTAGCCTGACTCAACCTCATTGACCGTTTGCTTTAAAAACAAAAAGTTGGGGGCCTATGAGCTGGCTTGGCAGCTAAACCACTTGCTGCTTTCTCAGAGAACCCAAGTCTGTTTCCCAACACCCACATCAGATGGCTTAAAATTGACCGAATCTGAAGTTGGGGGCGACGGGGGAGGGATCCAGCATCCTCTGACCTCCAAGGGCACCTGCACATATACTTTCAGTTAAATAAGTAATAAAATCTCCAAACAATAAGTCAGTATTCCTTCCACCAATGAAATATAGAAAATTAGCACCGAGAATTAAGGCTGTTGCTATGTAAACTTGACCATGTAGCTCTTAGGCATTTGGAGCAGGTGTGTGGGAGGAGTGAGAGAGTTTGGAGGTGTGAGCTAGAGAAGCCCTACCATGCTGCAAGCAATGCTTAATGGTCCTTCTGGTGGGAATTGGGAAGAAGGCCAGTAGATGGGGACAGTGGAGGCCCAGCTCACAGGGCTTCAGAGGTCAGCAAGGACTCCTCTATCAAGAACCAGCTCACAGGGCTTCAGAGGTCAGCAAGGACTCTATCGAGAACCAGCTCACAGGGCTTCAGAGGTCAGCAAGGACTCTATCGAGAACCAGGATAGATAGCATCGCTGTTGTACTCTGGCAGAGTGTCCTGAGAACTTGAGTGTGGCTGAAGTCAAAAGCAGTGAACTAATTTGTTTGGCAGAGTGCATTTCAAGACAGGATTGCATTCAGGCTATGCTATGGTTACTGTTAATTGCTCTTATCTAGGCCTACAGTAAAAGAAAGTAACAAGTAGAGCAAAAAGATATGAAAACTGCTGTTTGGCAGGGAAAGGAGTCTGGCAGGAAAGTTTCAAGTCACACCTGGGTGATGGGAAAGCGACTGTGATTGTTAAAGGGGTTAGTCCCATTACAGAGATACCTAACACAAGGAAAGGCCCCTGGGAGGAAGACGAATTTGTGAGAACTCAAATTCATTTTTAAGGAAGGAGCTTAGGTTGAAAATGTCACTGAAGAGACTCCTTGTTCAAAAACAATCACCTAGAAAAATGTTTCACCAAGTTCCATGCACAGAGGCAAACAAACTGTGGCTCGAGGGAGCCAGGCTGTATCTAGAGCTGACAACAGAGCGTGGCAGCATTGACCAGTTGATACAGTTTTTCAGGTGTGAAACATGCAAAAGTGAAATCGTCACAAAGGCTTATGCTGTGATTCCAGAAAGTTTCTAAAGCCCTGCAATGTATGGCAAGGTCAGATGCCAAGCAAGAAGTCCCCAAGAGGACACTGTGTGACACTGCAAAGGTAAAGACTGACTGTTAAGGGAGACTCTGTTAAGAAGGTGCAGGTGTCTACCAAGCAAAGTTCCAATCATGGGAGTGAAGATAGCCCCCAAGACAGGACATTACAGTATAAGTGGCGAAGCTGGAAAGTCAGGGCAGCCCACAACTACTAGAGCCAAATGATTCCATCAAGAGCCCTAGATACAGAACGTTTACATTTTCATAGGAAAACACTACCAACAGGCAACTCTGAGATGAGCATGTTGTAGCACAGCTAAAGAAATCCCTTGTCACAGGCTGAACAGGTGTGGCCACCTGACCTTAAGTTTTTAGCTCTATTGCTGTTAAGAGATGCAAAGGCCATGACAACTCTTATAAAGGAAAGCATTTAATTGGGGCTTCTTAGAGTTTCAGAGGTTAGTTCATTATCATCATGGTGGGAAGCACCATGGCATGCAGTACCTGAGAACTATATCCTGATCCACAGGTAGAGAAGCAGAGAGGGAGAGACACAGAAGGAAACTGGGTCTGGCATGAGTTTTTGTAACCTCGAAACCCACCCCTAGTGACACACTTCCTCCAAAAATTTCCACACATGCTCCAATAAAACCACACCTCCTAAATCTTCTAATCCTTTCAAACCAGCCACTCCCTAACATATAAGCCTAGGGGGGCCATTCTAATCCTTTCAGACCAATCACTCCCAAATATGTAACCCTGTGGGGGCCATTCTTATTCAAACTGCTACAAGATTTTACAAAGTGTGAGATAAATGAAAATATGCAAAATACCCATTTTCAGGAGTTAGTATGTATTTACATATGACATTTAAGTATTCAGTAAATGTATACTTACTAACATGTACATGTACATACCTATTTTCATAAATGCTGAAAGTATTATGTATAAAGCAGAAAAAGATGAACATCTGGCCTTTGTCTTTGGAAAGTAAAATATCAAAGCCTACCTTGTGACCAAAGCCTTGCAACCTGATCACAAGTTTGAGCTCCATAATCCACTTCCTAAGTATCTCTGTCTTTCCTAATTATGAAATGCATGGAAGGAAATGTTTTAAAACCCCATTAGCCAATATATATTGAGAAATTCACTGAGCTAGGCAGTGGTTGACTGTCATGTCTCAGTCAGCCAAAGGCTCTACGACCAACAACTTGCACAAGAATATGTAACTTCCTCCTCGAAACCAGAGAACATTTCAAATACTCAGAGTCTGATTTGCCAAGGGAACTTGGATTTCATGTTCAGCCTCCTTATATCTGTCCTGGATTTCCAAGTACAAATGAAGTACAATGTAATATTTCACTGTCAACTATGGTACTCAAAGTACAGTAGAAGGGTAATTAAGGACTCTAATTTACTCCAGGGTGAAGATAAAGCATGACCAGATTCTTGGGCTGCATTAGTCTTGTTGCTTACAGGACAGATTTCATGTTAAATGTTCTTTAGAAATTAAAAAATAATGAATGATTTCAATGTGGCTTAAAATGGTGGGAGTATTCTAAACAGACAATCTACTACTGAGCTACACTCTCCCATAGTTATTTATGTATTTATTTTTGGTTTTACGAGACAGGGTTTCTCTTGTATTGTTTTGGAGGCTGTTGGTCCAGCCTGGCCTCTAACTCACAGAGATCCGCCTGCCTCTGCCTCCCGTGTGCTGGGATTAAAGGCGTGCACCACCACCGCCCAGCCCATAGTTATTTTTTTAATGGTCCTCTTCTTGATTCCGGGAGCTGCTGTGACTGTTACTTTAAGGGAGAATGATTTTCAAAGTCTCTTTGTTCTTTTCTCATCTTTCTTCCTTTTTGGGCATGTGAACATGATATGAGCAGTTTGCTAAGCATTTTCAAATTGTTTTTTGTTCCTTTCTATTCTTAGCAAAACCTTGCAATGCTTTTGTACCGATGTCTAAAGTATGAGGAGAAAGTAGAGCCATGAGATTAGATGAGTCATTTGTTTCGAACTTGCTGAGTAGAACTCAATTAAAAATTCACCCCTGGACTTCTCCTCAGGGCTTCAGACAGGGTAGATAGAGCTGTTTACATGTCTGAGAGAGAATCATGAATAGTGTACTGTTTTGAAAAGGTATGTTGAAAGACAATCTTGTCTGTATCTAAGTCATTGAGAATTTAAGGCACAAAAGTTGATTTTTCACTTAAAATAAGATTCTCTTCTTTCCTGTGTGCATACCTATAATTGTCTTTGATAAAATTGCCATTTCCTGTAACAGTTATATTCAATGGTGCTAATATCTGTAATTTGAGGGTGAGTCTAGGGTTCTGAAATTCTGAAGTGTGGCATCACACCAATTAGGTGACCAACCTAGAAAATACTTCTTTTGATCTAAACTGACTCATGTCTTCATAGGTGAGGCATTTGTCCTCTCGATTTAAATATGCACTGATTATTTCACAAGTAAAACATTGTGACTTTTTATTTTTTGGTTTTTCGAGACAGGGTTTCTCTGTGGCTTTGGAGACTGTCCTGGAACTAGCTCTTGTAGGCCAGGCTGGTCTTGAACTCACAAAGATTCACCTGCCTCTGCCTCCCGAGTGCTGGGATTAAAGATGCGCGTCACCAACACCAGGCAATACTGTGACTTTATTGTCTCCATGGCAGACTTGGATCATTTTTTCCCTCTGTCCACAACCAGATCCATAAAGAATAACAACACACTGTCAACCCTTGCCTGAGCTCTAGTTCCAGAGCAGACACTGTCCTAAGCATTTCTCACCGTGATACTTCCCACTCTGAAGATAGTATCATCTTTATCTAAGAATGAGGTGACTGAATGCATTAGGGTCTGGGGACTGCCACCACAAAACGCCAGGAACTGGGGGCTCAAAAGAACAAAATTTCTTTTCTTGCAGTCCTAGATGTGCTGTTCCTTCTACAACGCTGGGTCAGGATCTGATCCATGCTTCCCCTTTGTTTCTGCTGTTTCCAGCAGCCCTAGGTGCTTCTTGTTTGGCAGCTATGTAACTCCCTCCTCTACTCCTGTCATTATAGGCACAGGTATCTTCCTTATGTGTCTCTTCACTTCTCACAAGGACACCAGTCACACTGCCCTACAGACCTACCTTTCTCTAGTATGAATTAATATTGACTCATTAGATCTGCAATACCCCCATTGCTAAATAAGATCACATGCTGAACTGATGGGAAAGATATGAATTAGGGGGATGGCAGATGGTCAACCTAGTAGATTATAATGGGTAAACCTCTGCAAATTAAGTTGACCTGTTTTAGTGGAACCAAGGTCCAGAGAGAGCGACTGTCAGAGCCCATACTCATAACAGCTTCATTACTCCACCCACATTTGCAAGTCCATCACCTCCTGTTCTTCCTCTCTTTGATTTCTAACCCAGGTCTTTAAATAAACTCTCCTAAACGTGATCATCATCCTCCACGTTGAGCTTCTATGGCTCCCCATCTACTAAGTTCTCTTAATTCTCTGACAACCCTTGAGTCTCATCTCCCAGGCTGCATGTTTCCCCCAACCCTGACTCAAGTTACCTGTCCAAGGCCTTCTCTTCACATTCCCTCTCCAAAGATCTTCCTTTCCTTGAATTCAGTGGAACCTTCTGTGCCGTTGGCTATTCATTCTGTATCAACGTGCATTTCCACCCTGTACTCTCCCCTAAGCCCCAATCCCACACATGCGGACTCCTTTTAGACAAGAAGTTCCATCATCTTCTCTAGATATCCATCCTTGGAAACCAGATGTATTCATCTCTTGAATGATCTCCCCTCTCACATCTGCACCATGTTGGTAAGGTCTTCACTGTGTGACAGATTGATCACTGTAGGAGGCCCCTGTTAGCTTACCTGGCTTCAGCCTCCTCCCATCCAGTGCATCTTGCATGACCTTGCCCCAGTTTCTACCCTGATGCTCCATGGTTCAGCAGTCCCTTCTGTATTTCCATCCACAGTCAAGTGCTTGCAATGTATCTTTGTCCATCATACTCACCTGCGCAGTTTCCCACAGTTTCTGGCACACACTAGAGTCTAGAAAGGTGGATCACTCCTCTGCAAAACAGATCATGTTCTCATCTCTATGCTTTGGCTCAGGTTTCGCGTTCAATGCTTTATTCTCTCAAATTTCCACCTTCAAGACCCACATCTAGAAATTTCTCTCCAACCATTTCAGCGTTCACTTACTTCAGAAGAGCCTAAAGAGTGATAGACGAGTTATCAGAAACACAGGGTGGTCCCTCTGTCTTAGTGTCCCTGTCATCATTGTCTCTGCTTATGTTTTTCTCCACCTCTCTATTCTCTGTCTCAGAACTTCTAAGTTCAACATTTACACCACTCTGAGCAGCCTTATTTTATATATTGCTTCTTCACACTTCCACATCTCATCTCTTTTTTCTATGCAATGCCGTAGCACTGACAACTAATGTTGTGTATTTATTAAGTCACTTTCGTTTAGTTTAATTAATAAAGATCCCCAACAGTTTGAGAATGAGATTTTGTATAGAATATATAGAAAACAAGTTTCTGACAACTAGATGTGTGCTAGCCCAAAGACATGGAGCTAAAAGGATCACGGACTGAAACCAACAAATCCGTAAAACAAATTTTTCTCTGTAATTTTTTATTACAGGGTAAAAAGTGTCAGTGAAAGAAAACCCTGGCCCTGAGACCAGAGCCATAGAAACATACCCTGCCCCAACCAGGAATTGAAATCAAACCAATCCCTGAGCACAAAACCCAGCTGATCACTGAGCATGAAAACCAACCAATCCCTAAGCACAAAATCCAACCAATCTCTGAGCTTGTCTTAAGCTCAAGAATTGAAATCCTATGATTCCCCACCCTGAAATTCTCCATCTTGGAAAGCTCTGCCCCTAAGAAACCCTATATAAGCCCTGTAGCTGTTCAGTTTGGGGTTGCCCTTTGTCCACCCACATAGAGGCAGCCCCTCTCCTGGATTCCTCCCTCCTATGAAGTCTCTCGAGTGAGGTTTGTGGTAGTGAATGTCTTACCATAGTGGAGGAGAGTAGAACAGAACTGCTACATTTCTGCTGGGAAGCTCCCTAAGCAGAGCAGAGCTGTAACATTCCTCTGGAGCAGAGTTGCTGCACTTGCATTAGGAAAACCTTTCCAAGGACTGTAACACTTTGTTGGGGAAACTGTCCCCCACAGGAACAGAGATGTAATTCTTCTGTTGGGATACCTTTCCCTACAGGACTGTAGGTAATCTTTGGCTTCAGACTGTGGGTATTACTGAAAATAAATGTTAGCACTGTGAGTGAATATTATCTCTTTGCCTCAATCACTAAAGTCATGTCACAGAACTGTCTGCTGAATTCAAGCCAAATGTTTGAAAACAGAATTCATTGACATTCAAGAGTGAAATTTTTAAGTACTTCATTTTTACAGTGTTAAATTTATTGACATTTGAAATAATAGTATGACCAACTAAACTCGATTTCCCTTTGTTTCAGTATAGATTGTTCCTTTAGACATAACATGATCATCCCATAGTCATCTCAGAGAAGAGATGACTTTGGCCCAGTTGCCATGGCAACCAAATAAACAGAACACTACAATGTCAGATAGTATATCAGTAATAGATATAATAGATCATTCTAGTAGGCTGAAGGGGTAGGGGAATAGTTCTCTTACCTGAGAGTCCAGTTTTGATGTCTTCTTTCCCCCTCAAACTCCTAGATGTAAATGACCTAGGGAGATGCCAGAGTAAATAGAAAGTGTCAGGTTAATTGAAAGTGGGATTCTATGATATAGCTTCCATTATATCATCATCCATGAAGAGGCAGAACTCTGTTTATGCAACTGTTTGGAGGAGTTACCAGTTACTGGAAGTAACCCTTTGCCCAAGTTCCTGTAAGTAAGCCAAATAAACTCTTTGGTTCACATATTGGACTGAATAAAATCTATTCCTTGGTCTATTGCTGGTGCTCTGTTTTGTATTAAAAGATGTTAATGCATGTCTCCTTAGGGAAAATTAGTGCAATACCTTTCTAGGAACAACATGATGGGATTAGAATTTTAAGAAAATAACAACCTGAAGGAATCATTAGATGTCAAATTCTAATCACTGTCTAACAACACACACTCTCTGGTCAGGAAGATACACATAAAGGTTTCACACTAAAGCAGCATTAGACCTGGGGTGATCTCTATATACAATCATTTGGTGAATGAGACAGTATCACTATAGATTTGTAGCCAAAATTGAACTTATATTGAGGGACTAGATAGGTGATGCTTTCCATATGTAAAGTCAAGGGTGTATAGAACATGAATGGGGTTGGTTGATTATTTATAGGAGAAATCATCTCATGAATTACTTTATTTTTGTATTATTTGGGTTTATTTGATAGCAAGTCAACTTTACAAAAGGGAAAAGAAGAGAAGCAGGAGGAGGGGAGAGAGAGGCAAGAAGGGAGGGAGGGAAAGAAATTAGAAATTGTTGTGAACGAGGATCTTCTCAGAACCCAAAAGCAGAAAGCCAGGGAAGTTCTAGAAGGAATTGAAACCAGGAGCCCATAGCTCACGGTCTTGAGGAAGTGACTCTGGTCTATCCTTGGTCTCCATTTTGCTTTCCTCCTGTTTTCTTTCTGAGGATATCTTTTCTCTGTTCTTCAGCCCACAGTATTGGGGTATAGTCTCAGACCACATGAAGAACAAACATCCCTGGTTGAGAGGAAAACCAACAAATTTAAGTCAGATCACGAGCACTTGAACAATCCTGTGGTCATGCAATGCTATATGTGCTCTAAGTATGGTCTGATCACTGTTTCTGTGCTGACTCCTGTAACAGGAAATTTAGATGCAATGTTGAAATGTTTGGCTTATGACCTTCCTTAAATTTCACTGTGGGTAAGGAAGTACTGAGCAGATAAGACAAACTCAAAGTCAACACAGACAACAAAAATATAACTGTTTCAAAATTACTTCCTTCAGGCATGATTGCTCAATAGATAAAGCATATTCTGAATGGGGAATTTCAATGGAGAAAGAGCTTATAAGCTTGACAGGTATCCTAGGAGCAGATATCTAATGAAGTGTGACTTGAACATAGCTTACAATGAAACTTTATGCCATTGAAAATGCAATAACAAAAATCAAGAAATATGTTGAAATGAAAGATAATACGCGAACAAAATAATTAAAACCTAATAATTCACAAAGAAAAAGATTATAAGTAACATGGTACTATGCTAAGAAATTCACAAATTTTATGGCATTGTACAGAAAGGTTTGGAAAACTACAAATGTCATTTTCAGGTAATTTCTAGGTTGTGTGGTGCTAAATAATTTTTATCTACTTCATGTGCTACCTTTAGAGTTATTAGTGAAAAACTTTTCTTTTATAATTTAAAACAATTGCTTTTGTTGAAAATAAATATCCCAACAACAAGAATATCACCATATTTTTAGAAACAATACTTTGATTAACTAATAATACACTACTAGTGTGTGAATAGAAAGCAATAGTGCATGGATTATCATATTAGATAAAAGTAGTATTGACAAACATTCAGATTCATTTTGTATAAACTTTTTCTACTTAAATATCAATAGTTTCAACACCTTTTGTTGGGAAGCTTTTCCTCTGCCTCTGTTGAAAAGCAATGAACTCTATATCTAGGCTATGATAACAATTGGTCCTTATGATGGTATAGCAATTTCATACTGAATATAACTTTAGTAAATGTTGCATTCAGTTAGTATAAACCCTCAGCTTTATTGTTTCTCAAATATGTGTGAATCCTTTTTATCCAGAAATTAGTATATATCTCAGGCTGTCTAGGGTTACCCAATTTCTCTCAGCAATTTTATAATTTCTAATGTCAAATCTTGTATGTGACTTTATTAATTAATTTACTAGTATTTGTTGCCTCCAAGTTGCCACTGTAAATGAAACATTTGTTTTTCCAATTGTCTTATGTTAGTGCATAAAATTATTAATTTTAGAATATTGTTAAGGCAGCTTATAGTTACATTTGATTAATTTCTCTTGTGCAGCAGTTTCTTTCCAAGACTGAAACATTCCATCCTATGGGGTAAGTTTTTAGAAAGATGGTTCTTAACTCAAAATTGCTTTAGGAAGTACCTGAAACTGACTTTATTCCCCAGACCCCTCCCTCTCAGAGTAAGCAGTACAGCCTGATGAGTTATTTGAAAATAATCCAGCCTGCAGTCCCTGAGACCAGACCAGTTCCTGGAGGAAGCAGAAACCAGCAGAGCTGTCCCAGAAGAGGTTTAGATCGATTGAATTACTGGGAAAGGTCATTCTCCATTCTGCTGAGCTGCTTGTAGGCTGTGCAGTGGGCTCCAGGGTTCCAGTTTTCTGTGTTGTCACCCATGCTAGGGTGGGCTTTGGCGACAAAGTTTGTCTTTGAGTTATTTCTGCTCCTGTAAGTAACTCCTTACCCATATTTATGTAAGTAACCCCAATAAAACTCATTGGTTCACCAAAGTGCATTTGGGTGGTATCCATACTTTGGTCATGTGTTACAGCTCTGAGGGGAAAAGGTTTCTCCAGTATATGTGCTTCAGCTCTGAAGGGAAAGGTATCCTGACAGATGAGGCCCAAAGAATCCACAAAGTCACACTGAACAATGAACTTCACACAAGAGATTTATTGGGAAAGAGACAAAAGGGTAGCCGCCTCTGCTTGGGCAAGAAACAGCCGAAAACTAACTGGAAGGCAGGCTTATAGGGTTTATTAGGGTTAAAGTTTTCCAGGGTGAGTATTTCCAGTGTGGGGATTGGTGGAATTTCAACTCCTGAGCTTTGAATGAGCCCAGGGATTAGTGTGTTTTCAAAATTCAGAAGTAAGCTTAGACTTTTTACCCTACAAGTTAGTCCTGGGATCCCTATCTGGAATAAGTAGGGGTGTGTGCTTGTGTGTGTGTGTGTGTATGTGTTGTGTCTCCCCAGAGAAATCTTGTCACCCAACAGTTTCACTAGTTGCTTAGTAGGTGCCTTACAGCTTTCATCATCAGCAAACATTGTGGTACTTGTTTCACATTGCCACTGTACTTGGCCATCTAGGGTTTCAATACACATCAAAAGAGGACGCCTTCCCCTCGGTCTACCTGAGAAGGCAACACAGCGATTTTTCAACACTACATATTATATTAACTGAAAGATGTGTGCAGATCTCCATTATCAGGTCAAGAATGTTCCATTAAATTTCTAGTTTAGTTAAATATGTTTTGTATATTTTTAGATTAAAAGTTTGTCTGTTTCCAAGTGTTTTTATATATCTATTGAGAATACCCTATAGTTTTGACTCTTTCTTTTGTCACTATAACAATTTACATTTATTGATTTCTGATTTTGAAGCCAGCTCTGCATTCTTGAGATAAACTCCACATTGCCGTGGTTTATCATTATTTTACTATATCTGTACACTTATATTTCCAGTATTTTGCATGTATGTTTATGAAAAGACTACAATGTAGCAATTTTTCTCTTTAAAAAAATCAATGGAAACATTTTGTTCAAAGTTGATTGTACAAAATCTCCTTTCTCATCCAAAATGGCAGCAGTAATTTCTATATTAGTCTCACAAAAGCATCAAAATTCCATTTTTTCTCCCAGAAAATTCTTAGAAATTCAGACAAGACAATAAATATGGTCATGAAACAAATATTCAAATCTGTAGTCAGGAGCCTTGGATTCTGATTCTGTTTTGCCTGTGAAGTATTAAGTGTTCAATTCACATCTTCTAGAAGCTTATGATAGTATATAGTGAACCTGATACCTGATACGGTGTAAACTGAACAAATGTAAAAGGTCTAGAAAGGTCAATTTTGGATCGCCTCCTATTCCCACTTTAATTTTTTCTTGTTGGTTGCTAATGAGATCTGTGTTCAAGTCAATTTTTGCTGTATGTTGGTAATTTTCTAATGTACCTATTACAGAATTTTCAGAGTATACTAAATATTTACTAATTGATGCTTAAACTTTGCTCTATAGAAATACTTTTAAATGTTTTATTCATGTGTGTACCTGTGTGTACCTGTGTGTGTGTGTGTGTGTGTGTGTGTGTGTGTGTGCGCACGCGCACGCGCAGGTGCCCAAAAAGGCTAGAAGAGGGCATTGGAAACTCTGGAGCTAGTGACAGGCATTTTGAGTTATCTAACATGGGTTCTGGAAACTAACCCAGGACCTCTGCTTACATCATCTGGAAGAACAAGTATTCTTAACCACTGGGTTATCTCTCCAACCCTATAGTAATACTTTATAAGATAGATTCCTCAAAGAACAGGTGATTTAATAATTACATGCATGGTATTATGTTTAAAATGAGTTGTTTGGTGGCACAGACCTGTAATCTCAATACCTGGGAGGCTGAGACAGAAAGAGCCTGAGTAAAAGGCTTGCTTGGGCTACAGAGTGAGTCTAAGGTCAGCCTGGACAACTAGGACAGACCCCATCTCAAAATGAGAAATAAAAAAAGGGTTGGTGACATTGATCAGTGGTCCAGTGCTTGCTTACTTCACTCGTGTAAGAACCAGGATTTAATTCACACACACACACCCAGAGAAAGAAAGAGTCTCACACACACAGAGAGAGAGAGAGAGAGAGAGAGAGAGAGTTAAAATATCCCCAAAGTGCTACCAATAGAAATTACACAGAAGCACAATATTGTCTTAATGGAGTCTTCTGAAAAGAGATGTCTTTAAAGAGTGAACATTCAAATACCAGAGATTTGTAATGACTCAGTGGAAGGTCCAAATATGCAATGACTAAGTGACCTACATGCATCTCACAGCTTTCCCTGAGAATATAGAACATTAGAAGAAATCTATTTCTAACCACTGCCTTAGATATATTCAGTGTTTCTGATGTGCTTTTCCTTATTGCGTATACGTCACTGAAAGCCCTGAATGCCATTTCTGAGATTTGAAAAGGAAAGCTGTGAGACTGGATGAAAGCATCTTAATATTAAGAGATACTGCAACAGAGGTCAACTCTGGTTAACATGGATTTTGGTATAAAGTATGAATATAAATTTAAAATGTGAGTGGATAGTTTTATATATGTGTGTACCATTAAATTAAAACCATATATATTTATTGTTGGTGTTTGGTTTTTGTTAGGATGGGGGCGTCTCACCACATAGCCCGGGCTTGCCTAGAATTTACTATGTAGCCCCGGCTATCCTCAAACTCTTGATTCTCCCCTTTCTGCCTCTCAAAGGCTAAATTTGCAATTGTGTACACCACCATGCCTAGAAAACATTTTACATTAAAATCTTTTATAAGCCAAGTTTAATATCATGATGTTAAGTTTTTCTCAATCATATTTTCAGGTGCTCTTATAATTCCATTGCTTGCTTTCTCAAACTTATCAGGACAGAATACACAGGATCTTCAGTAATGCACAGACCAAAAAACAAAACAAAAAGAAAACAAAAACAGAAACCATAAAACAAATACCAAAAACCCTTGAAACTAATGGGACTTGAGATGAAGAAGATGGAGGCTCTCTCTCTGTTTTTCTCTCTGAATTTCGACTTGATGCTCCCAGATGTCAGGATTAGATAATCTCTTCAGTGCTGTCACCATGGAGCCCATTGTCACGATGTTGTATGAACTGTCTTACAAGTGAAACCACAAAGATAAGAATGTAAGGTGAAGGGATGTTCTAAGAAAATGACCTGGGGTTCCTCAACCACAGGATTCAATAACAGGACAGATTCTGAATGTCCTTGCTGACACCCAAGGAAATCCCCAGACAGTTGCATTTCAGTGTAAAGCTTGGTTACTAACTCTGCGTCTTCCTCATACCAGTGTCTATAATACATATTTCTACCCCTTCATAGAATGCAATTCTGCAATCAAGCTGATGGCCACAGTAAAGACATAGGTCATGTGGAGATAGTTTTCCCCAAAGGCTCTGTTTAATATTTGGTTTATAATACTTAAATAAAATAATTTAATGCTCTGAAGATAATATAAGCATAACCAACCAAAATATTCATCTAGCATTAATGTCATCGCTTATATTATCTATGCAGGTACTTTTGTGTAAATATAGTAAAATAACTAACTAGGTACTTATAGAGAAAGGAATTTCACATCCCATAGTTCTGAAGGTTCAAAGACATGATGATGGCATCTATGCAGCTCTGGTGGCGGCCTGATGACACATGGTATCACAATGGTAGGAACGCATGTGGAAGAGAATGAAGGGGTGTTCTCAAGCCCTCTTAAAAACCCACTCTAAAAAGAAGTGAACCAGTCTCTCAAGGCCTGCCTTAATTAATGTGGAGGGTTATGTACTGTGATCTAAACCCCACTCCCCCAACAGCCCCACAGCAACCACACTGGGAACAACATTTACCTGAAGGATTGGGGTAAATCACATACAAACCAAAGCACTATCTATACACAAAGCCAGAGTTTGAGGGGCTCTGGCAAAATCACAAAACCACCCCACTTCCCTTCAATCCACGTGCCATTTTCTTATTTGCTCTAAAAGAAGACAAAATTATATTGTGGAGTTTGGAAATAATCATGGTTGCCAAAAAAGAGCAAACATCTTTAATTGCTCCAAAAGTAACAAATATTCCTGCAAAAGTCAACTAATTTCGACAGATAGAAATTTGTGGGGGAGGAAGAGCAGAGAGTGAGCTAATCTTGCACTCACGTCTCTCAAGGTCTTCTTGACCCTGACTTTCACTCTGGAAGCAAATCCAGTAAATGTCATCCAAGGCAACACATGGCAGCACTCTGTTTTTCAATCCTCTATTTTGACAGTGTGAAATTTCAGAATTCAATTGTCCACATCCCCTGGAGAAGGGAAAAAGCAGCGTCCCTTTCTCTGGTGTTGAGGTCCGTTGAAGAGCCTTCCAGCCCTGGGGACCACTCTCCTTGAACTGTGTTCACCCTATTCACCCTATCAGCAGCATAGGGGGAAAGCTGGGTCGGAACACAAACTGCTGTCAAGTCGTGGCCCTTAACCTTGTGGTATTGGGTCTAGTAGGTGTGGCTTGGGTCACGGGGTGCAGCCCTAGCAAATGAATTATTGTCTTTCTCACTATCGAGACACCACAAGATTGCAGACAGGAAGTGGAGCAGGCTAGAAACCTCAGAGCCCCTCCCAGTGCCTGACTTTTCTCTTGGTAGCATGTTACACACAGTGTTTCATATTGTCTTTGGATAGCACGGTAGTGAGATAGCCACCCCACCCGCACCTATAGCGTTGACCATGCCAGTTTGGGCGTGGTCACAGGTGCAGACGTGACAGGGAGTGAGTTTTAGGTCTGGGGCTCTCTCTTTCGTCTGGTTGGGTCACAGGGAGCACCCTGTGCTGATTCTTAGAGCGGGAACCTGCGTCGGTCATCTGCTTGTGTGTGTAACTTCTCCCCGAAATAAATTATATTTAACCTATATTTGAGCCTAGTCCTGTGACTCCAGGCCTCCGCATAGCACTGTTCCATCAATCCCTGAATACTTTATTTTCTTCTCACTTTTTTTCTTCAGTGTTTCATATTGTCTTTGGATAGCTTCAAGCTAACTCTTTTCCCATCTAAATATATGGCTAAAGTCATCATGTGATTTTCTTTTTTTTATTTAAATTAGAAACATGCATGCTTCAAATGTCAATCCCAGCTCCCTCCCTTCTCCCTCCCAGCCCCCCAGCCCCCCACCCCCAGACCAACATCTTGTGATTTTCTAATTTCAAATTCTCCTCACCTTTATATTCATTTGCCTTCATCGTCATCTTCTCCTCCTCCTCCTCCTTTCTTCTTCCTTTTCTTTTTAATTCTTTGCTGGTATTTAGTGCTGTGAAGAGACACCGTGACGTGACAACTTTTATAAAAAGAAATAATTTCATTGGACTTGCTTACAGGTTAGACCATTATCATCTCTGCAAGGAGCATGGCAGCATATAGGCAGACATCGTGCTAGAGAGGTAGCTGAGAATTCTACATCCAGATCCGCAGACAGGCAGTAGTAGTAAAAGAGTGACATTGGGGCTGGCCTTTGAAACACCAAAGCCCACCCCCAGTGACACTTTTTCTAACAAGGCCACACCTCCTAACTCTTAAGTAATGCTACTCCCTGATGACTATGTTATCAGATATGTAAGCCCATGTGGGCCATTCTTATTCAAACTATATTGACTATCCAGGGCCTTGTGCATGCTCAGTATGTATTCTGCCAGTGAGCTATATACCAAAGCCCTGCTTTTCCTTTCATAAATTTTCACTTGATTAAGGCAGGATAGAAAGACGAGAAAAATCATGGGGACCTGAGAAGGGAAAGGGGCCCCTTACCAATTCTTTTGCTATAAAGGCTGCCAGCTTGGAGGCAATGTTCCTTTCACACACACATACTTTGTTTTGAAGTAACAATGGCCCAGGTTTAGGGTCTGAATGTATATACCTTGTATAAGGCCTTTCCTTTCCTCAGACATTGCCTGAGAATCTCAAGCAAAACTCCTAACTTTGTTCACAGCAAAGGTCTCCCTGCATGCCTGTGAGCAAGCTTTTACCTCTTCAGTTCCAGCCTGCCTGTGCCCATTCAGGCTTCTTAGCAACTGTTTGAAGGCAGTAGATTCATATCCCACCCAAACTATTATAAAGCAAAATCAATAAGCACCAACACTCCCTCAGAGAAGCACATGTCCATGCTCTCGGGGTGTCTTGTCTTCCCTTCTGGGTGCCTCTCTTTTTCTTTTTCTTTCATTTTTATCTGTACAGGGTTGGATTTTGAAACAGGGTCTCATTATGTAGCTTTTGGCAGACCAAGCTGCCTCTGTAGACCAGGCTGGTCTCGAACTCATAGAGATCTATCTGCGTCTTTCTCCCAAGTGTTGGGATTAAAGGCATGTGCTACCACTGCCTGACGGCCTATCTTTTTCTTAATAATTGTGTTTAAACCTCTATTAAGATACCTTTATTAAGCTCTAACTCTGCATCGTAAGCTGGTTTGTCCTCTGAAATTCTTTTCTTCATTTAAAGGCATAAATCCTGGTTTGGCTCAAGCTGAGGTCCCAAAACACCCAAGCTAACTCTTAGATCTGCTGAAGGTGGTGAGGAACTAAGCCTCCTGCCTGCATCCACACAAATGTTGACAGATCTCTTTCATGATTTTGATTCCACTATATTTTTCTGTTTGTTCACCTATTGTAAGTTTTCCTGTGAATCCTCAAATTGGTTATAATAACACTTTATATCATTATATGCTAATGGGTGTGTCTTAATTAGGGTTTCTGTTGCCTTGAAGAGACACCATGACCACAACAACCCTTATAAAGGAAAATATTTAATTGGGTGGCATGCAGTTCAGAGGTTTAGTTCATTATCATCTTGGCTGGACATGGTGGCATTGAGGCAGACATGGTGCTGGAGAAGGAGCTGAGAGTGCTACATCTTGATCCACAGGCAACAGGAAGTGAACTGTGTCACTGGGTGTAGCTTGAGCATAGGAAACCTCAAAGCATGCCCCCACAGTGATACTCTTCTTCCAACAAGGCCACCTACTTCAGTGAGGTCACATTTCCTAATAGTTCCATTCCCTATGAGTTTATAGGAACCAATTACATCAAACTACCACATTCCAGTCTATAGCCCCCATATGCTTGTAACCATATTATAATGCAAAATGCATTTAGTCCAACTTCAAAGTCCCCATAGTCTATCACAGTCTCAACAGTGTTTTAAAGTCAAAGTCTCTCCTGAGGTTCATGCAGTCTCTTAACTGTAGTCTCCTATAAAATCAAAATCAAAAAACAAATCATAGTCTTCCATCACATAATGGATATATGCTACTATTCAAAAATTTAGGGAGGGGAGCATGATGAAAAATACTGGACCAAAGCAAGACTGACAACCATCTGGGCAAACTCCAACCTCTGCATCTCCATATCTGATGTCAAAACTCTCTTCAGATCTCCAATTCCCTTTGGCTTTCTTGACTGCAACATACTCGTTTCTCTCAGGCTGGTTCCATTGCCTGTTAGCAGTTTTCCCAGGCAGATATCTCATAGTTCTGGCATCTCTAACATCTTGGGTCTCCAAGGCAACCCAGGCTTCAACTTCACAGCTTCACACAATGGCGTCTCCAGCCTCCATTCAGGGACACCCTTGACATATCCCTGGCCTCGGCAACTTTACTTAGTTGTGGAGGAATATTTGATAGTTGTGGATAATATTTGTCCTTTGCTCGAACCATGTGGCTGAACCCGCTTGCTGAGGCTGGAACATGGCCCCCTCTTTTAATTACAACTTCACCAGCTTTCTGTTTTCAATGGTTTCCTTCTCTGCCTAAGATGGGCTGTCTTGAACCTGGATCCGTTGACCAGGCTGGCCTTGAACTCAAAGATCTTTCAATTACATCTTCACCAGCTTTCTGTTTTCAATGGTTTCCTTCTTTGCCTAAGCTTGGCTGTTCTGCAATTTGCTCTGTAAATTAGACTGGTCTCAAAGGCAGAGATCCATTAGCCTCTGCCTTCCAAGTGCTGGGATTAAAGGCATTTACCACCAGACCCAGCAGTTCTAAGCTGTTCTTTAGTTCCTTTTCACAAGTTAGAAAATAAGCTGGGTGGGATCTTATCCTGAGGTCACCACTCCCTTTAGTCTATTGTTTTATTTTTTAAGATTTATTTATTTATTATGTAGATTGTGTTCTGTCTGCATGTATGCCTGAAGGTCAGAAGAGGGTACCAGATCTTATCACAGATGGTTGTGAACCACCATGTGGTTGCTGGGAATTGAACTCAGGACCCCTGAAGAGCAGCCAATGCTGTTAACTGCTGAGCCATTTCTCCAGCTCCTTATTCCATTTCATAATCTGTTTAACCCCTTTCTCACAGGATTTAGCTCCCTTCCACTTCCTTCTCAAGTTGTACATTTTGTAATTTACCCTGCTCAGCTTGCTCCTTTTTACTATAAATCTTTATAAGTATAAATACTAGTAACCACATGACAGAGTCTATCCTAGTCTGTTTTGAAATTTCCTTTGCCAATGGCATTAGTTCAAAACTCTTCACTTTAACCTCAGACAGACTTCAGACAAGGGCAAGAAGCAGTCACATTATTTTACCAAAATATCACAAGAATGATCTCTAGGCTGTATATTACTATTCTTCCCTTCTGAAGTATCTTGAGCCAGGCCCCAGGTATTCATCAAATCATACTCAACACCACTGTCTTCTATGTCCCAACTAGTATGACCCATTAAGCAGCACTTAAAGCATTCAACTACTTTTCTACTCTATCCTCCCAAGGTTCATATTCCTTCAAGCAAAAGTATGGCCAGGCCTGTCATAGCAATAACCCAGTCTCTGAGGCCAACATCTGTCTCCTAATAGTGTCATTCCCTATGAGCTTTTGGGGGCCAATTATATTCAAACTACCACAGTGAACTTTTACATTTACCTTTTAAAATAAATTATGCTTAGTGACATCTTCCTGTTTCTCAGTAAGTCTAGAAATGTTGGATCATTTATATCATAGTGGGAATCCCCATTATTTTAAGGATTGGATTCTCTGCAGTCCCTCTGTTGGTTGTTTGTTGCTTTTACTTTTGTAGCAGTCTTGTGTATCACAGGTTGAGCTCAAGCTCAATATGCAGCAGAGGAGAATCCTGAACTTGCAGTCTTTCTGCCTCTACCTCCAAAGTTTTGGAACTGTGCCCTCTTACACAGTGCTGGGTGTCAACCTAGGGCTTCATGCATGTAGACCATCACGCAATGAACTGAGCTACATCCCTAGCCCTGTTTTTTGATTTCAAGCAAGCAATTAATTTGACTTCAGTTGGATCACCAGCTTTGTTTTTCCTGTAACGGAGCAGCTGAAAGCTCTGTTTAGTTCCTTTCGGCTTAGCTGGCCTGTCTGGTGTCTTCTCTGTGCACAGATAGTGATAGAATGAACCCAGTTTGGGCCAAGTTTATCTACAGAATACCTTGCCCATGTCATGGTCATGGCTTCTTTCTGTCCAATGTTGCTTTTTTTTCCCTTCTCCAGTTACCATGGTCTCCCAAATTCTGTTCCATAGCTGAGCCAGTAAGCTGGATTTCTTTTAGAATCTTACCCACTGTGACTAAGGCCCACCCGCAGACAAATATTTGTGTCTAACAGGAATTGCATTGCACCATTTCCTTCTTTCAAGTGTAAATGCATTTCCAGCTCCTTTCAAACCTCTCAGGGCCTTCAGATTCTTGCATTTTATATCTTGTGTTGAATTTTTTGTTGTCATCTGGCAGCAGGTTGACCTGCTGGAAGCTACTTCTCAATTACTGGGAGCTTATTTACAATAACATTTTATTTATCAAGAAGTTAGTATTTTATTAATTTTCCCACTAATTGGATGCAGTAGTTGCCTGGTATTTGTATTAAATGAAAAATCTGGCTCTACCTTACCTTTGTAATGTTAATTAATTAATTAATTATCTATTTTCCACTTGCTTCTGAACATATTCCCATATCATAAGCAATGGTTACACAAAAGTGGGTAAACCCTCTTTGACTTAGAGTTTAGCGATGTACTGTACAGTATAGCAATTGCCAGCATACACTGAGTGAATTATAGTTACAAGAATATACGTGTCCCATGTCATTATTGTTGTTACTTAAAGGCAAGTCAAACAGCTCTAGACATGACTTCAAAGCCACTGCAAAGTCAAATGTCAGTACATGAGGCCCCTCCCTCTTCCACTCCAAGGGAGCCAGTGGTTTCAAAGTAATATGTCTGTCAACAGACTTGATTACCTGCTACACTTAGACATCTGAAAATAATAAATCTCAGCTGTCAGAATATCAACCATGAACTTTAGAAACAT